TTAAATGGGGATGAGGCTTTGTGTGCATGCAGACAAAATCAGTCTTTTCTCAAAGGCATTTGATTACCAGATTTATAACACAAAAAGCGCCAAAGAGCAACAAATCCATACAGGCTATGAAATTAGTGTCAGAAGAATAATGTAACATATATTCATTTAAAATGCTTAAAGCAAGGGTGAGTGCTTACTTTTCTTTATTTTGAGTCCAGTTTGAGCTACAGAATCTGAGAATGGCTGAAGTGAGAAGGAAACTCTGGAGATCACCTAGTCTAATCCCTCTGCTTACAAGGAGGAACAGCTAAAGAAAACCATCAGCTTTTGAATATCTCTGAGGATTGAGACTCTGTAACATCTCTGGTCAGTGTGGCCCAGTACCACTGTAAATTTGTCACAAAATCCCAGCAAGAAACACAGTTATTTTACATAGTCCCAGAGAAGACTAAAGGAAAGGCTACAATCAGAATTGGGATTTACTTACCGTCTCCTTTTCACCAGAAGGGGGAAGTGATGCTGCAGTGAACTCTGGCAGAAATGGACATTGATCTAGGTACTGCCAGTAGAGGCTTTCACCTGTTTTCACTTGTTCTCTGCTCCCTTCTAGCTCCTCACCAGGAAAGATGCCAGAGCAAGATATGTAGACCATCAATGTAGACAGATAGATAGATAGATAGATAGATAGATAGATAGATAGATAGATAGATGGGTAGATAGGCAGACAGTTAGACAGATGCCTGCTTGCCTGTATGAAAATACAGGTCAAGTTTTGCCCTTACTTTCAAGTTTAGTGAAAGACTCATAATGGATGTAAATATACTGTGGTTTAGTGCGTGACATTTACTAAGTATTTTTCCTTGAACTTGTTACAGTGTATTAACGTAAATAAAAATATATGCCTAAAGATAGGCATAAAACAGCTACATGGCACCATATATTCACTACAAATCGTTCTATCTAGAACAAAAGAGTTTTCTTCTGTAAGAAATGCTTAATGTACAATATATATGAGTATTGACTTCTGTTTTGGAATTCAACCATGAATTCTGATCATCTGAAGTGGGACAACAAGGAAGGCTGACACTGATCAATCTTGTCACTCTGTGGTTTATTCCTATCCAAGAAAAAGCACAATAAATCTTTTAATTAAAAATCACCACCAACAATAACAAATGAATAGAACAGCAACAAAAGAGCAACACACTTTGAAACACCTCCAGCCACTATGAATGCAGGTCTCATTACTGATAAAAGATGAGCATTTCTCATTAAAAAAACCTCAACACATGCTAGGGTAAAAACTCTTAGAAAACCTGTGCTTATTTGTAGGCAGAGAAATGAAATCACAGTAAGAACACAGTAGAAATATGAAAGGAGATCTACTGAGTCATGACACAATTAAACCATGACAATTTACTACTTATAAACCTAATTTACAAAAAACATATTTGCTTTAGGTAATTTTAAACATTAAACACCAATTTCATATAAACATCTCATGCTGTTTAAATACAAAAACTAGCAGGGAAGATCTTTCAAATATGGTGCCTCTATTTAAAAGGATGCCATTGAGTGACAAGATATTCATTTGTTGCCAGAGAGAAACAAGATAAGAAGGAACATGAAAATTCTGATATCTCTATGTATTCTTTGAACAAATAGCGGGAAATGACCACTAAGAACACAGTGATCTAAGTTGACCATGCCTCAGTGCACTGGCTTGTAAACATGAGTCTTTGTACAATGTACTTATAATTTCTACACACACTGAAATAGGCTGCAAAATTACACAGTAGTCATTTCTTCTTCCTCTATGAATTGAGATTAATAATTAAAATGCCCACTGTAAATGAAAATCAATTGTTTATACACATGCTTTGATAGTTGTTTTAAGAGAAACAAAGGCAATAGTAAGATAGGAGACTCCATTCAGCAGTAATTTCAAGTGAAAATAAAATTCCATTCCTTTCAACTGCTGAACAGTTGAATATTTTGTGTACTTAACATAGAACTGGCAGAAGAATATCCAAGCAGAAGCAAATGTCATATCAGTTATATCAGTATGCTGGTTGCACTGGTGGTTATTACCACTCTTTAGTCATGAAGGTATCATGGAATATTACACAGACTCAGGAGAGTAAATCCTTCAGGAGAGTAAATCTTCTTTATCTTTTGTAAATAAGAATAAACAGAGTAAATAAAAATCAAGACATTTCAAAGCAGTTGCTTGCAATCAAAATCAGAGCAATAACTCCAATAACCAGAGATACGCATGTTTTCCTCCCCTTGCAAAGCCTCTCCATAAGACAGAAAGGTGTCCTTCATAACACAGGTCACAATCTGTGATATGAAACCCACTGACTTAAACGTAGGAACATATCAATTGCAGTTGCACCCACTCATTACTATATTGGTTAAGAAGGATTATTATAACCCTAAAGCACAGCAGTTTAATTCTAAAACAGAGGTAATACTGTTTAAGCATAAGAAAAGAACTTTTTACTGTGAAGATGATCAAACATTGAAAATAATTGCTCAGAGAAAATTTTGCAGCATTTTCCACACTTGGATATATTTAAAACCTGACAGATTGTGGTCCTGAGCAACCTGAGCCAGCTGAACCAGATCTAAGCAGGAGATCACCAGAGGTTCCTGCCAACTTCAGCAATGCTGTGATCCTTTTATTACTAGGGCAGAAAAATGTTACCTTGAATGGCTTTCAAAGCCAGGGCTTCCCTTTCATGTATCTGCTCACTTTTAGACTACTACATTATTGATGATTTGAACCTGGAACTCATGTCAAAATTAACATGCAGCACCACAATCATATCCCACTACATGAGGTCTAGCAACCCGTGTACCTATTCATCTCTGCAAACCAAGTCAGACACAGCTACAGTGCTTTTCTGAGGAGCAGGAACTTAAGCTTTATAGGAAAAGGCACAGGATCAAAGACTGTCTTTTGATAATGCCTCCCAGTTCATGACCTCAAAAAGGGAAGTACTGGATCATGTGATATACACAAAAAATTGGTACACTAGTACATAACATGGACTAGCCTAACACAGAGAAAATTTTATGCTCCCCACAAGACAGAAATTTAAAATGACATAAGTATTTCATTTATTTCTTCTTCCCTCTTTCAGTAAATCACAGAAGCATTTGAATTGGAAGGGACTCTTAAATGTCAAGCAGTCCAATTTCCCTGCAATAAATCCACAGCCAGATTAGGTTGCTCAAAGCCTCATCAGCCCAACCTTGAGTCTCTCCAGTGATGAGGCATCCACCACCTCCCTGCACAACATGTTCCAGTGCTTCACTACCCTTATCATAAAAAAAAAAAAATCCTTAAATTCAGTCTAAATATCCACTCTTTTTAGTCTGAAACCATATCCCGTTGTCCTATTGCAACAGACCCTACTAAGGAGTCCATCCCCTTCTTTCTTATAGCCCCCCTTTAGATACTGAAAGACTGCTACTTCAAAAGCATCCTTTTATATTAGTGTTCAGAATGCTCAATCCAACCCTTTCATCTCCCCTTGTTGTTTCAATAGTCAGCCAGTGAAATCAAGACAGTTATTGATGAAGCACAACAATCTGTAGGGAGGAAAAGGTTTTATATAGTGTGTACACCTTATCTTTTTATGCTAATATTTCATGCTAACCAAATGAAAATTGATAGCTTTCTTTACACTTTAATAACACAGACTCAAAAGCATATGTGTTAGAAATGTAGATAATTATCACTGCAGACCTTACAATATGTTGCCTACCTCTGTCATCCCAGCAACATTCCCATTTGTTAGCTACATATTTTGTTCCAAGTTTTCTTTAAAATCATCCTTTAAAGAATCATTTTAACTCCTTCCATCTTTCTCCTGTATTCCTGGAGACAGGGATTCCCCTTTTATGAATGTTGCAGAAGAAGAAAAATTTAAAAGACGAAACAAACTGTGAACTACAGCCAATATTCATATAAACCAAATGGTCTGGTACATTACCTAGAGCAAAAAATTGCTTCCACTTGGAAGCTAAATTCAAAATGACCTTGTGCTTTTTTCAAAAGGCTGGCAGCTGAGGTCACAGGAGTGAATTGTGATAGACAGTGCTTCTCTCTATAGTTATAAGGCATTGCTAGCATGTGAATTACCTGCCACATAGGGGAAAAAGAATAGAAAGAAAAGGAAAACACAGCAAAGAACATTGTTCAATTTCCTTGTAAAATAATGGGAAATATAGCTTACAACAGCTATGAAATTCACGAAACAATTTAAGTTTTCAAAAACTTCATTTCACCATCAAGTATGTTCTACCCTTTTCAATTCTATATTCATAAATTAAGCCTGCTCTTTATTGGTTGCTACTGTTGACAGCATGGGAAACAGTAACTGTATTTCTCCAGCAGCAAATCCCAGCTGCACAGAATATTATGTACTGTTGTTTAAAAATGCATATTGCAGTTGTGTTAAAAATGATTACATCACTGAGTGGAAAACAATGATAAGGAAAAGAAGCTGTAAATTCCATAAGTCCTTTAATTGAGATTTAAACACACAAGCTGAAAGAAAATTCCACCATTCAATTATGTAACGAAATTGTTAACAGTAATTTCAAAAGAATGCAATTTTCAAAAGGGTATATTTTCAATTCATTCTCTTGTAAACACATGAGTAACCTCCATCTAAGGATTTTAATCTGTCAATAGGACTGCATGAGTCCTCAACTTGTTTCTATAATAGCAGCTTTTCACTGAAATATTTTGATTGACAGATTCTTATTTTTAACATCTGCATCCTGTGGGAGCAGCTTAATGTTAAGTTGAAAAATACACTTGGGGTTTCAAAGCAGGTGGAAAAACTCACAGTTCTGACTGAATGAGAACTGCTTCTAATCTTGTGTTTTCCACTGTGCCTTAAAGTATCCTATATATAGAAGAAAACACTTCTGAAACATTTAAAGAACAAGAAGGTAGAAAAAAAAAAAAAAAAAGAGTACATATAACTTACCATTAAAGTTTACTGCTCGGATATAGGTAAGTAGTTCTTTACCATCAATTGTGCTCATCCTTGGACACAGACCAATATATCCAGGACAGAGATCTTTGTGCATGTTATGTAGTGCATAGGCCATGGAATATACTGCATCAATTACAAACTGAACTTTTCCTTCTTGCTCATAGGCTGAATCTCTTGCAATTCTTTCTAAGCCTGAGGAATAAAGAGAAAAAGAGTGTTTACTTCTATTTGTGTCCAAGTGTGTGCAGAAATCCACAGTAGAACATAAATGATCATGGTCAGACAAATAGGTAAAGTCAGGAGTCTGCTATCCATCACCTAAATAAACAAGACAAGTTAAAGTATGACCATCTGGTTCTGCCTCTAATCCTTGTATGTTGTGCCAAGTATATAAACGTTATGTTGAGTCCTGGGTTAGGAAAGAGGACAGAGCATTTCATTACAAGAAATATATATGTATATGTATTTCTACAATCCAGTAGAAATCTGCTCCACAGCTTACTGACTTTCATTCAATAGCTGGTTGTAGTTAGTTATAGGACACTTCTACAGTAGCTTGTCATTCTATTTTAGATAAATTTAAGGCTACCTCGATTTTTATCTATGTCTACTGCTTGATAAAGATTATTTAAGCATGTCAGGGAAAAAAAAGCCGAACGTTCACAAAGTGATGTGGCCATCTGTCTCCACACTGAAAAGTGCTTATTCTGAGACTTTTCCCTGTATTTATTAGTAAATTATGTTTCACATTGAGGGCTACGTACTGTCTGCTGTTTCCTACAGGAATATTTTTCCTACAGTGGGTATACAGAGAAAATCAATACATTATGAGATTATGATTCTGCAGGGACTGCCCACATTAATCATATATGTGCAAATCCAGACATACCTTTTATGTTCAGCAGTGATAGCACCAAGTGGAAAAGTTAAAAATAAAGTCCAGGAAAATTATATTTTAGGCAAACAACCAGCATGCCCTATACGTGAATTCAGCCATTGATTTCTAAGGCTTAACATTTTCTTTTACAATGAGAAAATGTTCTCTGCAGATTTTGGCTTGAAGTCTACTCTGCTGATGTCTACAGCCAAGCTTCCATTGACTCAGTAAACACAAAATTAAAACCAAGGTTATTTCTCCTCATGAGACAGTTAAAAAAAGAAAAGAAAACAAAATTTCCTTATTTCTTGCACTGCCCATAACTGACTATGAGAGGAAAGCATATAACTTTGTAACTTACCACAAATTACTCAATTGACATTTTACAAGGCACACTATCTAATGATTGGCAAGTAATTATGTTGAGGGACAAGTAAATATGTTGAGGGACATGGTTTAGTGGGAGCTATTGGGAATAGGAGAACGGTTGGACTGGATGATCTTTTAGGTCTTTTCCAACCTTGGTGATTCTATGATTCTATGATTCTATGATAATTAGTAAATTGTGTGATGTATGTTAATTAGTAAATTGCGTGATGTTACAGAAACCAAGCAAACAGAAGAACATTTCCTTGCACATACTGAAATTTGCACTTAAAACACACTGCTTAGACATGACAGGGTATAAAAACATGGCTCAATGAGATTGCAACTCTATTAAATTACTTCATTTGCAAACTAGCTTTCAACAGTAATTGACAGGCACAGCTCAGGATCCCTCCCTTAATTGTTCCTGCCTGGTTAAGACTACCAGACAAGAAGTGAAGGGCAGGGCTTACAGAACTGCTGCAGGCACACAGCAGTCAATAACCCACATGTGTTCCCAAGAGTTTCCTCATCCTCTAAGCGGGATGGCCAGGACAGAATATGTTTGAAGGAGATACACCTCTTTTTGTTTCCAAGCCAAATACAATTCCCCTCACACATCAGACAGAAGAAGATGTATGTTGAAAGGTGGAGGGCTGGTGAAAGACAGAAAGAAATTATCTTCTGCAATAAGTGCTAAGTCATAAAGTCATGAACGCTGCAAATATTTCTGCAAATACGTTGTGCTAAGTGGTAAAAATTCATGAAAAAAAAAAAGAGTAATACAGTCCCTTGCATTTCACTGTAGTTTAAGCATACACAGGATTTATATAAACTTACTCTACAGTATAACATTTCACCTTTACTCTTCAGAAATAATTTATCGTATAAATTACAGGAACTAATTTCTCAAAAACTAATTTATCATATAAATTACAGATTAAAAATGAATATATTACCACTGAATGCGTTTCCCTAATTATGAGGGGATGAGCAACATCACAGAATTATCAGTTTCAAATCTAGCAATCTGAAAAGGCAATAGAAGTCTCTGCTTTCAACAACAAAGAAATAATTTAATAAAAAAAGCACACACACAAAACAAACCAAAATCAACAAAGTGAAGTATGTGCTATTTCTTTTTGAAGTCTCTCTTCATTTTCTGTTTCCAAAACTTATAAAGATGAACAGAACTCATCAGCTTAAGCATCTGCTATATCTGATTACATTACATATGAGCTCTACAAAGCATGCTTACACGTACACACACGAACACAAGGACAACTTGAAAGAGTGTAACCAGACATCTCATTAACAAAATTCCTTAATGCCTTTTTATGATCACTTCAATTTCTAATCTCACAGTTTTTACTCCAAAAGGAATTACTGAGGCTGCATTGTTAGGGAAGATGATTACAACTCTTGAACTCAGGAACTTAATACCTTCTGACACAGTGCCAAGAACTGAGACAAGAACTGTCCTGACACCATTCCTCTGTGCTCTGATTTCCATACGAAGGAAATTCAAGTAAATATAACATGATATTTTCTAGCAGGTCCTCCAATCCAACTGTTGAAAAGTGCAGGCTTGTGGGGAATTACAGCGAGATGTTGAGACTTTCCCTGACCAATGGATAACATCCATAGCTAAGTGTATTAGTGTTATCATCTTAAGCTGGAGAAGAGCTAGGAGAAATGAGGCATCACTAGCCCAGGAGAAATGTCAACTGCTCCTGGCGGTCTTTATTTGAAATCTATTTCAGAAATCCTGCAGTGAGATCATCAATGATCCCAGAAGAGCCTGGAGAATGTTGCCACAGATACTCTTGTATTTCCCGAGCAGGAGTGACAAGCCAGACTATGTTAGCTGGTACTGTTGCTATAATTTGTAATCATTTCCCCCTTTGCTCCTGGTAGTTCCTGTACAGCATGAATAATCATTTGCTGCTCAGAATGGTGGAACTTGGCTATAGCAGGGAAAGATAATGAACATAAGGTGAGATGTAGATTAGGTAGATAAGTTTACGAGGGAAGAAGCAGCACTGACATCACCAATTCCCCATGCATGAATAGGGAATCAAGATACTTCAGGGAACACAACAATTTTATTTACAACAAGAAATTGTATCTTAATTAAAAATTTAATTACACCACATAATAAATAAATAAAGATTAATGTAATAGAGCTAAAACAATGAATTCATACTTGGGGGGTGGAATCACCTGTGGGATATAAAGCAACCAAAACTTAAGTTGTTGATCTCACCAACAAGTGACTAATCTGCTGGGAGATAAGTGCTATACAATTCACCTATGTTTAAGACTGGCTTTTTAATATTGATCTTAAGCACATGCAGATGAAATTCTTTTGCAAATGCCAGTGGCAACAGGAAGAGCACAGAGCAGATTTCTTATTTCTTATTGTCTTATGAATAAATAAAAAACAATTACAGATAAGGCAAAATTGGATATACAAATTATCACAGTTTGTGATATAGGGAAATTTAGTTAATTAATTTGATTTTTAACTGCAGTGGTTCTAGAAATTCCCAGTTTGCTTTATATTTCTCATCAATATTACTTATTTTGTCTTACCAATCTTTTGGTTTCCAGTTTGTATTATTGAAACAATTTGTATAAAATTGCAACCTTCATTAACTCGCATATCTACTTTTATGTTTTCAAAACTACACCCTTTATACATAGCTAAAATTTTAATTTATGCTACTTGAAGACCATAGTTTAAAATTAAAAACATAGCATAAAACAACTGGTTCTATACTCCTGACTTGAAGCCCCCTAAGAAAGGTTTCACGTACTGGACAGCTTGAGACACAGGAGGGGGGGTCCAGTTAGGATAACAGAAATCATAGAATCATAGAATCATGGAATCACAAGGTTGGAAACGACCTATAAGATCATCCAGTCCAACCATCTCCTCATCACCATTACCACCACTAGTACTAAAATCTGTGGTATGGGGATGCAGTTTACAAGAGAATAGGATCCTAATCCTGGGAAGTAAAACATATGACAGAGTAATCATAATAATTTCAGGTTCTAAGCTTAGAAAAGGAGTGCAGTCAGAGACAAAAAAGACAAGACACGTAACTAGAGCCCCACTTGGGAAATTGGATGTTTCAAGGAGGTGTCTTTCTTCCCTAATCATTAACCAACTGAAGGAAATATTCCTTTTTGAAATCTGTCAACAATTCATTTTTCAACTACTTTCATTTGAACCATCTTGATTTCTAACATTTTATATTGTTACTCAAAATCAACGCTCAGTGTTCATGGAATTGTATACAAGAACTATCACTTTTATTAATCAACCTAAAAATATCTATTTTGATTTTTTAGTGCTTACTGGTGTCCATGCTGTTTTTTAATTAATCTCCTTTGTTATCATTTTTATCTTTGTTTTGTTTAAGACTGACTGGAGCACAATCGGCCAGCTACCTTTCATGTTCAGTTCAAAAATTGGCTCTCTGCAAGCACTCTTTCACTGTTTTCGGTACTGATACTTCAAAGCTTATAAAAAATCAATATTAACAGCTCAGAAAACATGCAGCCAGCACTCTGAAAACTCTCACATCTAAGTTATAAAGAATGCCTGTTTCTTTTAGTTGAAATGGAAATTACTTTGTCGCTATCATCTGGTAGGGCTACATCATTTATTTCACTAACCTGACAATTTTAATGTAATACTTTTGATCTTTTTGCACTATTATTTATAGACTTCTGCTTGAAAAGCTCATTTGAGAAAATTGCAACAGCAGATTTCCATTTACACTGTTTTAATCCATTTATTGTGATGTTTGTTATTACTTGACTTATGGACCTTACTCTTAGGGTTGGTAATTTCTGGAAAAATCATCATTTATCCAGAAATTTAAAAAAAATAAAAAATAAAAAAAAAGACACAAAACAACACAAGGCTTGTATGTCT